CATTTCTTTGGATTCAAAAACCAGAATTCTTTATGCTTACCTTTCAAATCCTATTTTCTTTCTCTCTCTTGCCTTAAAGAAAGGTAAATAACATGTGTGCTTGCTCGTGTGTGTGTGTGTGTGTGTGTGTGTGTGTATATATATACATAAACCAAGTTCGGTTAAGATTTCAGATACACCGGAAAAACTGAGGCCCTTGCCCGACATCACTTGCTGAGATCTCTTTCCACCTTTAACTGGGGACTTGTGTCCCTCCCTGCTGAAGGATTCCGAAGAGGCTCTGGGAAGCCGCGCAGGCAGGAGTTTTCTCAGCCACCCGGGCGGGCGGGCCGACTCACCCACACTGCATATCTCCTCATGTCCACTAGAGGTCACTGGCCCCTCGCAGCTCACAGAGCGACCCTCAGCCTCCGGCTTCTAGAGCTCAAATTAGCCGCGCGTTAATTAACACCCGAGTCCATCAAGGCGCGTTCCTCAATACTGTACTCCAGCCGGGCTTATATAGACAACCCAAATCCAGACAAAGCAAACCTCCCCAAACCCAACACTTCCAGCATGTCCAAAATGGGAGACAGGCGCCTGAGTAACCCGGGGCAAGGTATAGTGCCATTGCGCTTTAACTTTTGTTGGGTGGGGCTTGCTAAGTTGCTGTGAAGATTGCCTTCTCTGTGAGCTCAGGGTCGGTGGGGCCCTGTTCTGCTGTACATTTCTTGCAGACAGGGCGGCGAGCGTTCTGGTCCCTCCAGCAGACTGGTCTTCTGGGCGAATTTCTCCAACTGGGTAGCTAAGGGGAAGAGGGGCGCAGACTTACACTGCCCTAGGCGCACACGAATGTAAAGGAAGAGTATTTATTTAAGGCTTTACACACAAGGAAATGACTGATGTCTTTGAACACGTCTTTGGTAAATGAAACAAATATAAAGGAGGACGTTTCTTATTCCTATTGAGGAATAATGGGGAAAGAGAGGGTTAGAGATGAACACCAGGAATCCACCCTGGTGGTTATAATGCGGGACTGAGGAAATGCCTGAGATGTCCAGGAAAGGTCCCTTCCTCTTGGTTCGTGTGCATCGTTATTGTTTTTGTTTTGCTTTGTTTTGTTTTTTAGGTCCACAAGAAATTTAAACTCTAGCTTTTATTTTACATTATTTTTCAACCATAGCCCCCAAAGCAATTCCTACTATGGACTGGGGAAACTGAGTCATGTCTCCAGGACCTCAGTGAAATTCTGAAGAACTGAATGAAACGAAGCCCAGGTTTATTTCAACAGCACTTTCCAAGTTCATGATATTTGTAAACCACCATGACAAGTTCTTTTGGTGTCCGAGGGGATGGAAGGGTCACCTCAGTAGCTCTTAATTCTTTTGAAGAAAAATCTTGGAAACATTAATTCAGGTTCTGACAGGATTAATACCGCTGGAGGTCTTTTGCATTGATAGAGAGCAGAAAGTTTGCGGAGGACTGTGGGTTTCCGAGGAGTTTGGGGGATGACCTTTCTTCACAGGGTCATTGATGCGGACCCCAAAGATCTGGACATTTCGGGCCTTTGGAAGGATGAGATCCACTGAGTTAACTGCCATTCACCAAAACTGCTCAGGAACACGCAAAAGATGCTTGATGCGCGCTCATTGTGGGGTTGGTTTAATGGTGGCCTATTAATGAAGCCATTGTCCGCGTTGGGGGTAAAGAGTCCATGCAAGCAGGTTACCGACTGCACCCGCGTGTTAGATCACGCCGTGGACCCCCCCCCCCCCCAGGTCCTCATCAGTAGTACCCAGGAGTCGGCAGGGGTCCAGAGTGCGGGCTCCCTAAAGCCTGGTGGCAGGTGAGTAGTCCGCCCTCAAAGAGACCGGAAGGGGCCCCTTAGGGAGCCTGCCCCAGCCTGTAGCGGCAAGAGGCATCAGTTGCCCCGTTGCCCCGTTGCCCTGGGAGAAAGCTCTGGGACTTTGAAAAAGAGCTTTGTTTTTTCACAGCCCTAAATTATTGGGAAACCGCCCTTGAAGCGGCCCCTCCAGGATCTGGTCCTTCCTTAATTCCAAAAGAGAGACCAGCTCTAGCCCAAACTTTGTTCATGTTACCCTTTGAATTTAGCTAAAGAGCTGTGCGGCCAGCAGCGTTCCAGGCCGGGAGCAGCCGCCGCAACCCAACCCAGCTCCAGTGCCTGCACAGGTGTCAGCTTGAGCTGGCATTATGTAATGGATTTGGCAGCCTAGGCTATTACCTAATGGAATTAAAAGGGTGGGGTTTTCTCTTTTCTTTTTGACTACATCTGGTATTAGGTGTACTGATCTGGGCAGCAGGTGTTATTTGCAGGAAAAGAACAAGCGAAATGGCGACGGAGGTCAAAGCGCTCCCAGAAAGCTGCGGGAGGTAGACTGGAGGCCCTGGGGTAGAGCATCCCTTGTCCCCTTCCTTGGCCGCTCACCTGACGCCCTTATCCTCAGGTGTCCTGAATTCCAGGTGCAGGGAGCAGAAGTGAGCTGCGCACCGCTAGCTCTGTTTTATGGTCAAAGCCCCTTTGGTAGAAACTGTGGAGTTTCATTCTGATGACTGTTTACCTTTTATTATCTTACCGATCCTCCCCACCCCCATGAATGTGGCAAAGTGAGTGTGGATGTAAAATCAAGAGGTTTTAGGTAACATACCCTGGCAGGCGACAGGGAGCCCCTCCTTCATTTTGATAGCGTCATCTTCGAGAAGCCCTGGGTGAGGCAGGTGCCTACAAATAAGCCAAAGGGAGTCTAAAATGTGGGGCTCTCGTCCAGTAGAATTTTTAAAACAAATGACCAATTTCGATAAGCCATAGAAGGGGATTTCATACACGGTCAGCCTCCATCTTATTAGATAGGAACGAAAGAAAACTTAGGAATGGTAACCACTTCCTCTCCAAGTGTCAGTTTACTTGTGAACACCAAATTATTGCCATGATGGAATTCGACGCTAAGCGCTAGTTCGAAGCCTTAGAGAAACAAGGAAGTGTTTGAACCTTAAAACGTCAAACTCGGAATTTTGGAGAGTGGGCTTCATTTTGAGTGGTAGAAGAGAATAATATTTAAGTGGCTAAGCCTTTTAAGTCTAAATTTGAATTTCCTCCTTGATTCCTGAGAGGAGCACTGATTAAAGGTGATAAAGGTTAAAAGAGTTATGGCAGTAACTATGAGGACAGTGGCCAGAAGCTGAGGGTCAAAGTAGTTATTTACAAGAAATATGGGCATGTATCAAAATTCCTTAATCTATAGTGATGGATTCAGTAAAAAATTCACACCTACAAAGAACCTATAAAGACTTCATTCCAAACTGCATTAAAAAAATTTTTTTTTGTCTGTTTGTGGAATGACTCCCACTGGCAGAAGTACTACAGGAAATTTGATGAATTCTTTATATTAATGTTTACATGACCCTGAAGTGTCCTTATTTTTCTGTGTTAATTATAGTTCAATCCCATGCAACAACTACCTATAAATTAAATTTTTAAAAAATTGCAGGAGATAAGCAGGGAGACGACTAATATTACAGGGAAAATTTCAAGAAAGTTTAACCTAGCCCTCATCAAGTATGTCATGGTCAAAACTGGTGGTGAATTACTTGTCCTTTCCCTGCTACTCCCAAAGCCATTGATTATCACAGGATCCCATAGTAAAAAGAATCAAGAAGCAGCATCCCCTCACTCCTATCCCCCTTTTTTGAAAAACACATGAGTTTCTTCATGAATCCCATTTGCTGGATCTCCTCTGCCAGCTGAAGATCTGTAGTGACCTGGGTAGGGACCAGCCCTGACATGCAGCCATCTGTTCCTGGGTAGAACTTGTAGATATAACTACATTTTCTTGCCAGTAGAACAAAATGATTTTGCTCAGGATCAGGTCGTGTTTTTAAGTTACCTTTTCTGTCTCATCACGTGGTGCTTTTTAAGCTGATAAACTAAAAGCACACTCCTCAGTGCCAACACCACAGAACCAGTTGCAGGTTGGGGGCTTTTCTTGATTCCTCCTAAAATGTTCCCCCACCTTCCAGAGGTGTTTACTTGGTGATTGTCTAGGCATCAGTGGCTACTTATTGTCTAATTCAAGCCTTCAGGTGCATTTCACTAGTGAAGAAAAGGAAATCTCCCAAATTGTAAATATTTTAACGGGGGAAAAAATAAAGGAATGCAATTTTTGAAGTTGTCTGTTTCAAATATAGAGAAAAGTTTGGCAACTGCTAAGACCTACTTAAACATAACCCCAAATTTCTTTTGTCCTCCTCTATTAGATTGCTTTCTTTTACAGGATTGTTCTGTACTTCAAAGCTATACTTTTTCCCAACCCTTTCTCCCTCCTCCTTAGAGCCCTATAATGAGGCCTGTTAAAACCAAAACCTGCAATAATTTCAAAGAAAGATAAGCTCTCTAAGATGGTATTCAATAAGCAGGGCAGTTTAATTGTTATGCAATTGTTCAACAATGAAAAAAATAAGGTTTCTATCCCCACCACCAGACTGAACGTTGCCTTTATACCAACACCCATTTCTAAACATACGTTGATCCACTGACACTTCGATCCTCAGAAATCCAGCCCCGAACAGCGCTGAAGCGTGAGACCCGTGCGTGAGGGCGGGGGTACAGATCAACCTCTGAGCGTTTGCTCCTCTCACTGGGACCCATGGGTGCAGGATAGGCTGAGATCTTCGTGCTCTCTTCTTCCTCTCCTATGGCTACTCTCAAAAAGAATTTTGAAAATTTCCCTCGGATTGGTATAATATGGCTCTCATTTAAAAGATTTCGTGACCAGACTTTCTGTTGAAGGGAAATATTTTTATTTGTCTTCAACTAACATAATTTTCAAAGAAGAACTTCGTTTGTTTCATTTTCCTTCAAAACTATGGTGGGCACAAGCTAGCAACATTTTATTATCCTTATTCTGAAATAAAATCTGGTAGGTAAATGGACCCTTGAACATGCCAAATGTTCAGCAATTCAATGTTCAGAGCTTTTTAAATACTACAGTATAAGCATATAACTGTACAGCAATAATAGTCCCTTAACTAAATATACCAATTCCTAGTTCACCAAACCGTCTGTGGTCTCACTGGAGTCGAAGAAAGGAGATGGTTACCGTGACATCATTGCTATTATTTAAATTAAACTGCTTTGGGAGAACATAATTGTTAATAAAAGCCTTCTTTTCCACGCCCCTCAAGGTTCCCTTCCCCCTTTGGCATTTTTGACGTGCCATTCTGGATGAATGTAAGCAGAATTATGTGGAGTCTAGTAGCCTACTATATAACTACCATGTTGCACCTGCAGGCTAGCAAGGAAAAGCAGAGGAAATTTGCTATATTTAGGGATAGTTGTTTGAGAAATATATACTCTTAGATACTGATGTTCAAAGTTTTTCTCTTCCTAAATGTGTGTGTGTGTACGCAGAGAGTTTTATATGGGTTATATGAACCCTCTGTAGTGTCCGTGTTTGTACATTAAAGACTGCCATGTAATCATTCCAGGGGGCTGGTTTAATGCATTTAACAGAGAACTAATGGGTCTTCTACGTCGAAAAGCATGCTCCTATTTTTAATCCCGTCACGTATTGAAGCGGTTTTGTGTGAGTCTGAGGCGTCCACCTTCATTCATAGTAGATGCTCTTGTTCAAGAAATCATTCCAACCACTTTGGGTTCCCTATCATTGCTAAAATGCCCCCCTTACTTCTCTGCTACTATTTTTTCTTTATTATTTAGCCTATTTCCGTCATACTTAACAAAAATAAATAATCCTTGCTGCCCAGAAATTCAGTTGAAATGATCCGGTGAGCTCTCGCCTTGGTCCTTACTTCGAAATGTAATTTCAAATACTGGATATGATAGGACTTGGTCGTTGATCAAGCTGCAGGAGACCGAAGCTACTTTTTCGTGCCGGATTTTACCTTCTTTCTTGCCTGGAGCGTGCGCTCTGCACACGCGCGCACACACACACACAAACACACACACACAGAGAATTCCATAAAAAGAAGCTGGGTGAGGGTGTCCCAATGTGAACTGAGACGCTGGGCTCTGGCTGAACCTGGGCAGTAGGGAAGCCGCTGGTGAGCGGCGCCAGCACCAGGGGCTAAGGCTGAGGGTGGCCTGCGGCCAGGGTGAGGACGCGCAGAAGCTGTGCGGGCCTCCCGCGCTTGTCTGATGCTGGAGAGGATGGCCAGGCTCCCGGGAATGAAATCAAAGTTCCGTAGAGCTCAGAACCCCTAGACAGCAACCTTGTTGGGCGAAGTGCCCTGTTCGGTTTGAGCTCGCGCGTGGAGCGGGCTCCAGCACTGGGTCTGCCGGGGAAGAAGCCCACGAAAGGGGTCCCGCAGCGTTAGCTTTTGTACCGCCCCGCCTTGGCCAGCCGCGAGCTGACGCACGGGCTCCCCCGGGACGCAGGGGGCGTCGCACTGCAGCTGGGTGGGGAGCAATTTATTCCTCGCGGTCACATCCCAGCAGATCTACGGTTACTCCACCCTACCCCTCCCATCCCTCCTCCTCCTCTCTACCGACGCCCGCACAACCTTCAGATTCTCCACCTCCCCTTCATCCTCCATCCCCCTTCTCTCTCACACTCTTCTCTCTCCCCTTTCTCTCCTCCCATCCCTCTCTTTCTCTCCTCCCTCTCCTCTCTGAATGAGCAAGCTTTTGCTTCTAAAAGTCACAAGTAAGAGAGAGAGAGAGAGAGAGAGAGAGAGAGAGAGAGAGAGAGAGACGCCGAGAGGAGCGGAAAGCAGGAGGGAAATCTGGCAGTACGTCTGAGAGAAGAAACTTGATGCTTCTGGGCCACCATTTGCCAGGGCCTCGCTGGAGGTAAGTACACTGAGGGCCCGCGGAGTTAGATACCTGGCAGGGTTCCGTCCTCGCCCAAAGCCGAGACCGCTACCCCGCGTACTCAAATCGTGAGGAAAATGTGAATGGGGTGCGGGTGGGAGGAGAGCTCCAGCCCAAGGGTCAGTGGGGACAGTGTTGGGTGGAGACGATGCTATACGCCTGGGAATCTGAACCTCCGGCTGGTGCCTTAGACAGCTTGTGCCTTCAGAGTCCTGAACAAGCGACTTCTGGGGCTTCTCGCTCTCTGATTTCCCTCTCCATGCTCAGAGTTCGACAGCTCTCCTCCTTACACATCCGCGTGCAAATAGCTCCTACTCGGTCATGAAGTGAGAACGTGCACCTCTTTCAAATCTCGAAAAGGGAAAGTTTGGCAAGGTGGAGGCTTCGCAACTCTGCCCTGGAACCTGAACTAGGGACCTAAATTTGCACAGAAAATTGATAGCCCCCCCAACCTTTCCCCCCTTTAAAAACATTGACTTTAATGAAAAATTGCATGTAGTAGAAAAGGTTATTGGATTACCATGTCTGATCAGCTGCTGCTGACCTACCAATAAGCGTTTTAAACACACACGCACATTTGTGCGACCCCCCCCCCGCGCTCACACACGCGCGCGCGCATGCACACACACACACACACACACACACACACGGGGCGGGAGGGCTATGTGCAAAGAGTAAGGCTGTCGTAAGTTACCAAGAATTCAGAGGGAGTCACAGGGCTTTTAAATGTGTAAAGGCTGTGTATGTGTCCTCCATGTGTACAGAGAACAGAGGGAGGGGGGCAGAAGGAACATGAGTTGGCTGGGCGTTTTCTCTGTGCCTGTGTGTTTCGTGTGTTGTCAGCTGGCTCTGGTTTCTAAGCGCTGAACGTTGCCAAAGGCGGGGGCCAGAATCCACCATCCACCTCGGCACCCTAGTGGCGAAACAGGACTCGTTTGTTTGGTGCAGAGCGGTGTCGACCTAGAAGAGACTGAAGTGTAGTTAGGTCGGCCCCCTGCCATCCATTACACCTGCGGCAGATGGCTCTAGTGGTAGAATGGTTTTGTTTTCCGTGATCAAGAAGGGAGGAGGGAGAAGCGAGAGCCTCGCCCCACTCAAAAGTATTCATAAAGAGCCAGAGAAACGAAAGAAGCCATATTCGTACCATCAAAAGCAATAATGTTGCCTCTGTCTGTGAGTGAACCTGGACATGTTAGTGACCTTGGTGCCTGGTCCCAACTGATGTCATGGCAGGATTTTAGGACAAATATTTTTCAAATTTTTTAAAATAAAATGTCTTCCACTCCTCCCTTCTCCCTCCCCTCCCCTCCTCTTCTCTCTCTCTCTCTCTCTCTCTCTCTCTCTCTCTCTCTCTCTCTCTCTCTCTTCAGATGCACACAGGTGTCCTTGGAGCTCTACTCCCTGAAGTCAAACATCAGTAAGCCTCTGCAGATTTCACAGAGGCTAAAAAGGAGGCCACTCCAAAGACAGGGAGTCTGTCTCCTCCCCCCAAAAGCTTCCTTCAACCAGACTGCAAGCGTCCATACACTAGTGTTCCCTCCCTGGACAACCACCTAACTGGGGATGTAGTCAGGTTTCAGATTTATCCATCTCATTTTCACACACAATCATGTGCCTTTCTGATCAATATTCCCTTTCTTGTATCCCTTCCTTCCTTCATGCTACTCAACAAGCAGGAAAGGAAGTACACACACCCTCCACAGCAAGCCCAGACCCAGGGAGGGAAGGTGTGACAAAGGACTCAGATGTAGTCTAATGACAGTTCAACCTGTTTTAATTTTAAAATTATCTTGCTAAATAAGAGAAATTAAAAGATTTTAATGTCAAAGGAGACCTAATTAGACCGAAAAGCCTTGTTTCCATCCTTATTTCACACACTCAATTACTATAGTAACCATATATTCTCTCTATATACTCATATTTATGTAGAGAATATATACTCATTTTTTTTGGTGAAATAAGAAACCATTCCACTGACCTAATTTTATATTCTAAATCAAGAACATTGCTTTAACAAGGGCTTAGAACACTAATGCTTTGGGAGTGATTAGCATGCAGAGAGATTCCGCCATTTTTGATACACAAATTCTACTTTCTATATTCTTTAATGCCAAATGTCAAATCAACAATTTTTAAAGTCAAACCATGAGAAATCATTCTAGCTAAGATTTTGGAATGACAAATAAAAATGTATTCCAAAAATTCAAAAGGAAAGGAAAAATTCAAAATTTTTCAAGATGCTTTCAATATTCAAATAAACCTTTGAAATGGGTTTGGTTGATGGCTGCTTGTTGCATGCCCAGTGTAATTTAGTTTTTCTGTAATAATTTTCCTTTCCTATGAAGGTTTTCATTTTTCAAGGAGAAAGTTGACTATGATATGCAGTGGGGTACAAAAGTCATCGAAATAAATGCCAATTTTATTCATTATTAGTACTACAGGTTTATTTACCCATCATAGAAACTGCTAAGGGTCTGTCCTAGGATATGAATTCATGTATTATCAGAACACATTTGGATCCACTAGCAGGAATTTTTTTAAAAGAAAAAATACATATGAAGCTGGATTGAGGAACAGACTTCTTGAGCCTTTTAGAGGTATTTTTTTTAGCAATAAAAGAGGAAGAGCAATGATATAAAACTCTTGACTTTTAGGGTCACTAAGAGCTTCCAATTTTATTTAAATAAAATACAATTAGTAGACTTATGCAATTGTAGAGAAGGAAAACAAAAATTTAGTCCTAATAAGGTTTTCCCCCACACACTCCTACTCAAAACACTTTAGAATCTAGTTCCAACAGTATCTAAAGCTAAGTAAAATATTTCCAAGATGAACTCTTGAACTTTGAATGAAAAGTTGCTTTTTTCCTAAATTCTGGGATTTATTAATGAGTAATATTTTAAATGGAAATCTAAAGAATTCAGACTAATCCAAATACTCCAATCTTTTGAGGGGAAGGAATGTTTTAATATTTGAGCAATTTAATATCAGAATCACTCAAGCAGGTTTCTGAGGCCTAAGCAAGCCTCAGAGATTGGCACAGGAAAAGGTATAATAGGGGACTCAGGGAATGTGAGGCGTCCCTCTCTTCTCCAACTCATACTAGGACCACCTACAAGACATCTTCTTTCATATAAAATGACCATTTGTTTTTACAGATAAGACTCAGAAAACTAAGTAAATCTGGAATACACGAATTGGTTTCTTTCCATCCTCATCCTTGCTAGGTTTTCCCCAGGACTTGTCTATCATTCTTTCTAACCCTCTCCTATAGGAAAGGCATTCAGTAGGATATGGGTATGTGTACATACACAATTGATAAATAGTTAGAAAATACACTTTGATATCGCTTCTCGGCCTTTTGGCTAAGATCAAGTGTAGAAAATACACTTTGATATATATCAGAGAGAGAGAGAGAGAGAGAGAGAGAGAGAGAGAGAGAGAGAGAGTTAGGTCTCAAAAATATCCCCAACACTCCAAATTTGCCTTTACTTTAGGAGTAATTAATGAGATCATAATTCTTAAAGAATAGCTGCCAAATCCCAATCCCTGGAGGTAGTGAGAAACGCTAAAAGTGCCCTAAACTGGCCCGTGGGAGGACTCAACCAATTCGCAAGCCTGGTGCCCTCGACATTTGTGAAGATAGCGTCTTTAGTAAGTGCTGCCATGGGATGGTGGTGAAGAGGCCTGGGTCGTGAACCCAAGGAAATCAGATCTCCAACTTATGCAAGGGTCTCATACAACCAAGGGATAATGGCCAACTGCATCTGTGGGTTTCTCCAATTCTGAAGAAAGGACCCCCCCCCCCCAGCTAGATGGCATGTGTGTGCGCATTATGTTCAACCCCATTGTACAGTTCCCTTTAGGGAGTTCCTAAAATTTGACGCTTTGCCTTTTCTGGGGCGAGCAAAGCCTGGGTAGGTCCTGAGAGCCTTGGGCACAGGTCCCCACAGCCTCCCAGGTCTATATGGCCTGGCATCTGCCGCCAAGGGTCGCCCCCGACGGCCCAGGCGCGGTGCACATGAAACCAGTAGGTGTCGCTGTTTCCCCGCTGGCTGGAGCCAGGAGCCCCGCTCTGGCCCCCCGCACCACTCAGCACACCGCGCCGGGTGGGTTCATGACCCACTAGAGCTCAGGAGTCAGGGCCGTTCCCTCCACCCACCTTCTAGGAATTGTGCCCTTGCTCACCTGGCCACGACCACAGCGACATTAGTCGGCCTAAGGGAGTGCCTTCGGAGGGCGAGAGAGAGAGGCGCTTCTGTTGGGGAGAAACGCTGTCCCCGACGGAAGCGGCTCAAAACCGGCTTCTTTAGCGGGAAACCTCTCTCCCTCCTTTCTCTTCACGTGCCACGGGCGACGGTGGGGTAATGAGCACATCCTGGTAAACCCCCGAGCTGGGGAATTCGACTTGGGTTCTACATTGGCTTCAAAAATAAAAAAAAAAAAGAGGTTGAAATCCTAGCTTCATGGGAGCTAGTCACAGTAAGGGTGGATTGTTTTCAATATTCTTGCCCCCAAAATGTAAAAATAAATAAAAGAAGAAAAAAGATAGAAACCGGGGCCTGGGTGCATGCGTAAGATACATACCATCTTGTACACACGTATGCGGGCTGAGATGTCGGGTTAACTGTGACTGCAGCCCCCTCCCTGAACCAGGGAGGAGTCAGCAATTGGAATGTGGTGGTCTTCCCCCAAAGCATTGCTCTCCAAGTATTAATCCCCTTTGGAAGAAATCTAGCGGTCAGCAACTCTTTGGAATCTGTATTAAAATTCTAGGTATTGATACTTCTTTGGCGTCCTGCGGCTCCCTTCTTTTGGCCTCAGTATGCCGCATAAGAGATTATTAATCAGTGGCGTTCTTTTTGTGTGTTTCAAAAGGAGGGCGTTTGGCTTATGAATACCGAGAGGGATATTTACAATGGATACATTCTATAGATGACTGGAAATTTTATTATGATTTTGATTGTTTTGTATAGGGA